GAGAGAGAGAGAGAGAGAGAGAGAGAGAGAGAGCTCACATATCGAGACAATGGGCAGCGGTTACAATCCAGTATTCACTAATGACGGCACCGCCGCAGAAGTGTTCGACCTTTTTCTTTTTAGGAATATAGATTTGAATAGACACGTGCCAGGGGAACTCAAAGTCCAATGCGTCCACTCCGCCCACAATTCTTCCCATGGCTTTGGCTCCGACCAACTTCTGTCGGAATTTTACCTCTGCATCGGTTTTTCTCATTCCACACGTGTCGCTATCCTTATGGTCTCCACCGCCGCCCTCTTTACCCGAAGCTTTCAACTTCTTGTCCTCCGCCTCAGTGGTGGTGGTCTCGCCTTCGGCCGAAGCTTTTAACTTATTGTCCTCCGCCTCAGTAGTGGTGGTCTCGCCATCGGCTGAAGCCTTCAACTTCTTGTCCTCAGCTTCAGTAGTGGTCTCGCCGTCGGCCGAAGCCTTCAACGCCTTGTCCTCCGCCACTCCCTCACCGGCCGAAGCCTTCAACGCCTTGTCATCCGCCTCTCCCTCACCTCCCGAAGCCTTCAGCGCCTTGTCTTCCGTCTCTCCCTCGCCGACCGAAACCTTTAACTTTTTGTCTGCCGCCTCAACCGTGATCTCGACGGCGGCCGGTGTTGTTGTCGTAGTTGTCTTGATTTTGGCCGGAGTTGTTGTCTTACTTTTAGCCGGAGTTGTTGTCTTGGATTTGGCCGGAGTTGTTATCTTACCCGACAGACAGACTTTTGTTGCAAATATAGGGTATTGTAGAAAAAATAAATATTAGTGAAGTGTTTTGGGTTTTTATGGGAAGTTTTTTCTTATCTAGTTTAAAATTTAATTATTAAAATCGAAATTACTCACCAAATATTTGCAAACATAATATAAATAATAATAGAAAATTATTTAATTTATTCATTTCTATTTTGTAGTGAATTAAGAAATGAATTTATTTTATAAATATTTAATTAATATTTTTATATTAAACCATAACTTTTGTCCATAAGGTGTAAAATTTATTAAAGCCATATAAATAACCATTAATACTGTATTTAAATATTTCAAGTAATGTCTGCCATAAATGATTTGATCAAATAAATTATTTTGAGATAAACCATAATTTATAAATTGTAATACAAAATCTGCAATAATATATAAGCTAAGTAAAGTTGTATTGTATTTTGTACTTTATATTGTATTTTAATTGTACTTTTGATTGCGATAAATTTTGAGTTAAACTTGTTGAATAACGTTTGTTGTAATTAATTGAACAAAAACTATTTTCATTTTAAATATCAATTTTAATATTTATAATAATTGTTTACATAATAAATAAATAACAAATTTTATATTTCAAAAAACATTATTTTAAAATTCAATAAATCATAGAATAAACACAAGGATATAAAAGAATTAAACATTTTGTTAAAATTTGTGTGAATTTACATACAAAACAAGTTTATGTCTTATTATTGTCGGCCTTCTCTTCGATGGCTCGTTGTCTTCGATAAAGTTTTTTATTATAATTTGAAACAAAACACAGAATCGCGAAGAATATGAGACACACTATACTAGCGATAGTCGTCACGTAAATCAATATCAATGGATATTTCTCGACATAATAGCCAACAATGAATGGTATCGTAAACTCTCCCAAACAGGCGACCACTAAAAATAGGGATCCGATACGACTCGTCACTGGAAACAGTTCCTCAATAAATGATAATAGAGTCGGGAATATAGACGACGTCCCGATTCCCATCAGCGATACGCCAATCCATAGACCAATCTCTGATGTATTGCCTAAAAATGGTCAACAAATACATAAATCACTACAAAATACTAAATTAATTTCTAATTATATTTACCAAAGAATATGAGCACAAAATTGCTGACCATAACGATAGCAATATCTGCCCAAATGGCAGCAGTAGTGCCGACAAAGTCGACAATAAAAATGGCCAGAAGTCGGCAGAGAGTGAAAGTGCCCCAAAAGGCGGACGTCATGTACGCGCCCTTTGATTTGTTGAGATGGAGATCACTATAAAAGGCAAATGTAGTCATAAAGCGTCCGAAAGCTATCTCTAAACCGCAATACGAGTGGAAAATAATGGATGCGATGAACAAAATCAAGATTTTCTGCTTTAATGTCATTATAATGAGTGACTCGTTGTTTGAAATACTCGGATGCGGTTTATCACTGCTTTTGATGAAATACATGATCACAAGCGCAACGACTGTTATGAGACCGCAGCCGCCGATTATGGTATACGGACACCAAATCATGAGGTCGTCGACAACGCCGGCGCCGGTCATCACATTGTCGTCGGCCGTCATTTGGCCCTCAATTTCGGTCACATTCTTCTTGTTTGAGAGAAAGGGTTCGGCGATTAAGGGGGCGATGAAAGCGCCCAAACCAAAGGTGAAGTGCAGCGCCTGCATGAATGGGGCGCTCTTTTTGCCCCACATGTGTAACAGCCATACATTGCCCGCTGTGTCCAGACCTCCGCCACCCAAACCCATCACCAATTGTGTGGCCGACAGAGAGATCACCGATCGGTTCCACGGAATGATGACATTACAGACAGTCATTATGAGCACAAAGAAGGCGATCGACAGTTGACTGTCAAAGTGCTCGTAGACAACGCCTCCGGCTATGGATCCCAGCAAATAACCGACAGATCCGACCGGAAATATGACACTAATCTCCAGTGAGTTTGCATTTACGGCTTGTCGTAAGTCAAGAAGTGTCGGACCGATCACTGCTATCGTTAAGCCCTATTGTCATTGCCATAAGAAAAACAACAGTTTTTATTATTGTTTATAAGCATATCAATGATATGATATCATTAACATTACGTTCAATGACTTTCTAAAATTGTCTGTCTGAATTATATTTAGTGATTATAATGATAATTTATTTAAAAGTCATTATAAGCTTGCATTATATATTTTTATTTTATATTTAAATTTTTATATTAATTTAATATTTAATTTAATATTTTATAGTTTTGTTATTTAAACAATAATATGATTGAGAATATAATTGGAGGCATTTAGTTAATAGATTCTTGAATTTCATTTCAATAGAAATATTAAATAAGAGCTTTAATATCTACACATTCACTGTATTAGTACTTTAGCGTATAATTTATGATAATTACTATACATTTACTAAAATATCTAAAACTAAAAATACTAAACATTATATACTCGCAAAATGAATTAAAAATTGAATTTTTAATTTTCACAGTAATATTGCATAAATTATGCTTAATATCGCATAATAAACAAAGTATGTCTTATGAAAACAAATCAATATAACAAATAGACAATTATTCTAATTTGTATATTTTAAATAACGATAAAAATATTTATTTATATTAAGAGAAATAACATTGAAAGCAAAAGTAACAACAAAAGTCAATAAAATAATCAAATAAACAAAAATACTCACCAAAACAACAAACGAGAAGAAAAGTATTGAAGTTTTCAAGAATCGGTTCTTATGTGACAATATTTCGCTCAATAAAGCCATTATTATTATCACAAGTGTTTTAGTTATTATGGATATGAATTGTATATTAATTATATCGTTAACTAATTTTTACATATACAGTATAAGGCATATAGGAATATACCTTTGTTTGTTTGCCAACAAATATATGATTTATAAATACCATATCATTGCAAACAAATGAACGAAATATTATTGATTATTACGAATAAAAAGCTCTAATATTACCAAACATTTGGCTGAGAAATGAGAGCTCATTGTCTGTGTATTCATGTGATGACTCGTAAAAAATTTCGTCTCAAAAGTCAATTTTCGGCATAACTTTCATTAAATCATATGATCCGCAAGTATTCATACCATTACTTATATAATAAAAAGGGTATTTCAATGCCTTGACTACAACTCACTTGCATTGCATTATATGAGGGGTTGTGAGGAACGAGAGATGTCGACGATTTTTGTACAAATTAAAAAACTGGTTGTATTTCTCACTCATCTCTCTCTTCACTCTTCACTACAAAACTAATTGGCATTAAAAACAGTGAGAAATTTATTGAGCAATCATTGGCCCGAATGTGAAATTATATATTTATTTCGCTATACCTTTGAACTGAACACTCGTTTTCAATACAACGAGAAAACATTTTGTACGAAGAGATGGAGAGAGAGAGAGAGAGAGAAATACAACCAGTTTTTTAATTTGTACAAAAATCGTCGACATCTCTCGTTCCTCACAACCCCTCATATAATGCAATGCAAGT